AAGACAAAAAATTGAGCTTTTGTTCTATTGTTCTATTTGCTAACACTGATTATACTATATATACTATATGCAGTATTGTTTATAAACACAAACTTATTATAGTTATTTTTAAATTCAAAAGTGTAATTATAAAAAAAATAATTTTTATTATAGTAAGTTTAATAATAAAATTATTTTTATAATAAATTAAAAATTATAATAATTTTAATAATAAAATTATTTTTATAATAAATTAAAAATTATAATAATATGGCCTCACTTTTAAGATTTAAAAAAAAAAATTATAATAATTTTAATACAAACTTACTCAATATAGAGTATTGTTTAAACTATATATTATTTTTAGTCTTATTTACATACTGTATTACTATATAACTAATATATAATAAAATATATAAATCACTACGTATCACGTATCTAACAGATAGTTTTATTTTTATTTATTATTAATTTAATATATATTATATAAATAACTTCGTATAAATTGAATTAATGTTACATAACAAGGTTGATCAAATTATTGTTCAACACCGTAAAAATTAAAAAAAAAAAAAAAAAAAATTATTGTTCAACAAAAAGCACTAGTCCGGAATTGGTTTAATCAAGATTGGCCGTTGACTTTCTATTCCGACTCTAACTACAGAAGTAACAAAAACGGTGAAAAAAAAAAAATAAAAAAATGCTTTGTGCTAAAGTGAAGCGATTGCTTATATTCGGGTCTATCCCCAGAATTGGGAGTGCTGCTTTAATTGATAACGATAATACACGTATACTGTGGCTCAGCACACATCAAATATTTGGAAATAGCCAATGTCAAAAAAAAAAAAAAAAACTAAATAAGTACGACGAATATCGATATGCGATAAAATTCGATATGTATTTTTTTTCATGTCACACGAAATTAAAGATTTTCTCTACTAAGCATCTTATTAACTCATTAACACAATAACGATAGGAAGTAACGATAGGGAATTGAAATTTTCACGAGTTGTTTATAGTGTCAGAGTAAAAATACACCTGAGGGTACAGTATGAGTTCAATCAATAGGATATTTAATCTAATTAGTACAAATAATAGTTTTTACGAAAAGTTTTTCAATCAAAAAAATTAAATTCTTTATAATTAAATTAGTTTCACTGATAAAGTTCAATAATAGTTGATAGCGATAGCAATATTATCAACATTTCTAACATAATTTCAGATTTCAATTTCCTTTGTTGACGTACGCACGCACGTACGTACGTACGTACATGTATACATTTTACCAAATCACAAAAGTCACCATCAACATTGTTCTTGACTGACTTCTAACCGATTTTCAAAGAATGTGTAGAGAACTGTTTTGCACATGATTAGACATTTTTTTTGCATTGACACACATGAAAAGGATAAATTATTTAACTAAACTTTATGCATGCATGACAATTTTTTTTTTTTTTTAAACTAAGGACCGAATAAAGAGAACGAAATGCATGTGATAATTGTGTCAAAGGAGGTTTATAAATACAAGAATTTATAATTTACGGGAGTAGTTTCATTTGTTTCCGGAAGCGCAGCTGGATATATACGTAAATAGTTGATATCATTAGTGGGTGATGCAACGTTTATTGAAATGGAAAATTTAAGGAAACAACAGTGTACACGAACGCTAAGAATTCCACAAAAATTTGAAAAGTTTTTCCGTAAAAGGGGGAATAATCGAGAAAGTGAAATTTATAGTGGAATAAGTCGATCATGCCTATCATAGAATCGGATTTATCCATCAATAAATTGAGAGCATTTTTTCTTAGACGTAAGGAAGGAGGAACGATTACCATATCTCGCGAACCAATCACCTTCTGTATATACAGCAGATAGTATTTGGAATCACTAAAATCGATGGTTTACCGCGAAACTTCTCAGATAGTACAGATAAAGTTCAAAAGTTGGGTTACTATTTTCCGGCAACACCGAATCGGGTAACAAAGAGAGATAATTAGTTTGACGTCACATATCGCAAATAGGAAGGATTAGAATGCGAGAAACCTTCTAAGGTAGAAAGAGAGGATCAGCGGCGGTGAAAATCTACGTACGTACGTACATACGTACAGTACGTATGTATGTATGTAGTTGCATTTCTTATACGTACAACAAAACCAATTAGTCTTTTAGGTAATAGAAAAGTAACGACTACGTATATACCAGACAAAGAATTGTGGCGCGGACACAAAACCGAACCTTAGATAAAAAGAGATTATAAGTATTGGAAAGCAATTTAGAGTAGGGAACTAAGTATGCATTTTGATAAAACAAACCACTACACTATCTTGCTTCTCTCCACATTTCTTTCAGTTGATCACGGCCCTATCTCGATGCATCTCGGGCTTTTTACCTTTATACCTATCTAGCATCATGTGCGATATCCACTAAGAAAAATCATAGTATATATAAACCTTTACACGTGTCATTATGCTATACAATAATAGATGCCATAGATAGAATGGATTCCTTATTATATGTATAATTCATATGGGCTTGCGAACCATGCGACGCACTGCATTATGATCATCTAGCAATGCTAGCGAGAATGTGATAAAACTTGTGAATTATCAACTTGCAACTTGCGGGGTGAGAAAATTTTAAGTTCTGTCAAGAAATCTGACATAAAAAACAATTACGCTTCAATTTCTACATTCCCGATATTTTGATTATATTCTTTCAGATGTTCCTAAAAATTGCACAAAAAAAAAAAACTACACTTCATACAAGATCTTAAAAAGTGTTTGAGCCGAGACAATCTTTTCTCAATATGAACGGACTTCCCTATCCATTTCTACCATTTCTACCGAATAAATTGCCCCGCGCGCACATCATTTAGGATCTTTGGTTTTTAACCCGGTATTGTATGATCTGATCTATCCACATTAGATTTTATGTCGCAATAGTGCATATAACCAGGTAATTCAAATTAAGTACGTACTTACGTACGTACGTATCAACACCTTAAAAAGCTATTAATGAAGTATAATGAAGTATAATAAAGTATAATTAAGTATAATTAGGTATGATCAAGTGATGAAAATATAGTATAGAAGTAAAATAAGATAATAGAGTATAATAGAGAATAATAGAGCATAATAGAGAATAATAGAGTATAATAGAGAATAATAAAGTATAATAGAGAATAATAAAGTATAATAAAGTATATAAATTATTAAAGATATAAAGTACTGTTTTATTTCCTTACAGTAACCTTTTTGTCATGCAGCAGCAGCATGTTGGTTTATGTTTGTTTACTCGGGAATATTCAAAAACAATGTGACAATACTTATTAGTATTATTTGTTACATCAAACACATCTCGTTATAGATCTTTCTCGATTGTGACCATTTGGCTGCATGTATGGATTTTGTTGTTTTCTCTTGGACTTACCATTTATTAGTCATAATCAACTGATTGCATTGGCAATTTGCATGATATTCTCTCACGAGCGAGATTAAATCTCGTTAGTTTATTATTTTTTTTTTTGCGCAGAAATGTCAGATGATAATATTAATAATACAGTATGACCATTCTCTTCCGAAAAGGATTCTAGTATAATAAAAGATTGTCATTACAGTGTAATAAATCGTCGATTAATATCGCGCATTTATTATCAAAATTGGACTGGTAATAACTCATGCATCTTCAAAATGAAAGGTCACTTGAGTCGCCTGCATGTCTTAACCAAGTTGCGATTTTCGTGCATTCTTAATAATAATCGATTTGGTATCTGTTTCCATCACATTTTAAACCTCATTTTCGTCTCTCCTTATCTATTTCTTGCAACACAAATTGGTCACTGGGTATGGTTTCTCTGCACGCTATCACCCATTTATCTTTTCCTCCTGTTTCTAATACCGTTTATAAAGATACGATCGATAATGTCGATGCAAATTTAATGCGCCATGTTACTTCACATTCGCTACGTTTTGCATGTTCGGTATCGCATGTCCTAATCGTATAAAATCACTTCCTAATCCGCAGAACTATAATTTTCAACCGACTGACTATAGAACAACACAATACTGCAATAATGATTTGGTAAATTGGTGAATTGATTCTCGGTAATACAAACAATTTCACATCAATTAACCTGATATATATGATCAAATTTAGTTGATTATATCCCAATTAATAAAATATTAATTTAAAAAAAAAAATTTTTGTTGATTTATTTTCCCTCGTTACAATCACCTTCCAATCAATCGTTACAAAAAAATGCGAGTGCAATTATTCAAGTTCTTGGGTCAACAATATAAATAGGCCTCTTTCACGCCATTGTTTTGTTTTCCCACACCCTTTTCTTCTTTTTGTCGTCCTCGAAAAAGATAGAGACTGAGGTTTTACGAGAGAAGCAACTAAAGGGAGTGTGTCCGCTTCCTGTCCTCTTAACGGAACGACTACTCATAAAGACACATTCTTCTTCAACACTTTGTCACGCAAAGTCTTGTTTTCAAGACCTCTTGCTGTTTAATCGTGTTGTTTTAATTCTTGAAATCATTCGAATTCGTGACTTTTGATTTCTATTTTTTTTTAGTTTGCTCATTTATCGGTCCATTAAATTTCTCTTGTTCCTCTACTGTTCTCTCTTTTTGGGTTCTGTCTTTTTTTAACTATTTCTTTTTTTTTTAACGTCTGTGATTTAATTTTACGCTCAATATTTTTTATCTTGGTTGTTCCTAAAACAACTATAACTTCATAACACGTCTCCTTAGTATCTGCTGCATATCCGTTTTTATCAGTTATCTATCTATCTATATATGTATATACAGTATATGTATATATATAATAAATATAGTATATATATATATATATCCATCTATTCGATAAATACGATTCATTTTTTACGTTCTCAATAATTGATTAAAATGGATCTTGACTGGTGTCTGATCTGTGAACAAAAGACCCAGGTATTTATTTTTACTGCTATTTATTATTATTTATTGTTACTTGTCTTTATCCGTCTTCATAACTCTGCGATGCATTTAATTGATCTTTACTTGTATACGCTCTTTCTATTTTCTTCTATTCTTTTCTATTCTCTTCTATTCTCTAGGGTTCTTTATATTGCAGTGAAGAATGTCGTTTCAAAGACCATTTGTCAGCGTACGCTTATCTCACACCTCCGGCCTCTCCTCTCTCATCTGGTTCTTCTACACCGACAAAGAGTAGCAGTACTGGTACTTCTACAACTTCTTTTAGTGGTAGTCTATATCCTTTCTATAGAAAACCTTCTGGTTTTCAGATTCCAGTTCATCACGAATCAACTGATTGTGCACTACCCTTGTCTCCTGTTATGAAAAAATCGCAATCTACTATTAATCCTTCTAAACGACATTCTTTCAATAATGATTTTAGTATAAAGATGATTTTTGAGTGTGACGTTTTTTTTTCAAAAGCAATTTTCGTTTCCTTTTTTTTTTCTTTTGAAAAAAAACACGGCATTTTGGTCATATTATATCATTTTCGACAATGACTATATTTGAACTCGTCAGTCAAGAAATTCTTAACTCATCATATAAAAAAAATGTGTTAATTTGTATCATTGGAGGTTCTAAGGTAGTCAAGCATGTAAACTCTGTACTGTATTGTATAGATTATAGATTATGAGTGGATTATATAATAAAAAAACGATGATAAATCTTGATATCGTGTGCCTTATTTAATTACTTGCAGATAGTTATTCTCTTTCGAAGCTAATTAATTATTCTGTAGCTTTAAAAAAAAAAAAGATTATATTTGTTACAATAAGCAACAAAAAAATTATCACACTTAAATTTATCAGCAATTCGAACAAATTAGATTGTGTAATTGTATTATATCATTGTAATATATTATCGGTAATATATTATCGACACATCAAAAATCAATTGTTCGTTAAAAAAAGGTCTTATTTTCGCCACATAGTCTTTCTTTCAGGCATTGTATTAAAGAATAACAATCGAATGTGACTTAATTGGTCAAGTCTATACATGTAGAAACATTTTTACAATGTGACGTATTTTTTGTATTTTTTGTATTTTTTGCAATGTATTGTGTAAAAATAATGTACATAATGACCTTTTAAAAAAGATTCTCGTCACTTAATTGTATATAGTTACTAGATGCCCAACAATTGATTTTCTTTAACGTAAAAACAATGTTTCTAAAACTTATCGCCGTAAATCACGCTTAAAGTATATTAGCTAGATATTTTAATACCAATCCCCCGATTATTACATGACCCCGTTCATTTTCGCATGTATTATATATCGATATCGATATAGCGCTAATATCCTAATATAGTAAGATTTAAGGCGTAGTATTTTTATTTTTTCATTTCTTAATTGTCCATAAAATTTCCGGTATTGTGATTCAAGCTGAAAACGTGACCAAGGAATCAGTGCATATACACAATCAAATAATTGTCGCACCAAATTTAAAAACTTTCTTTTGTCAGAAAAGATTGCGCGGCAATAAATAGTTAACATTCGGCCAATTAAGTAGCATAAAATAGACTAGGATTTCTAATTACAAATTTTATTTGTTCGAAATTGCTCTTTCATAAAGTAGAATAATGGTTTATTCTATGTATGTTATTTCTAGATTTTAGTGCATACTTTGTCATTAGTTTACTTTAATCATTCAACACCAATATAATTATTACTGTTTAAAATGGTTTGCTTTCCTAATCAAAGGCATGAACCGATCATTACGACCAATGTAACTCGTTGTCATCATTGTCAAAGTGACAAAACAATCAACTATATGTGCATGCGTACGTACGTACGTATTTATCATAAAGCTGTGTTATCATATATAGAGTGATTTTTAATTATTTACAGTATATACAAATATTATGTATGAATGCAATTTTTTGTGTTTTTGTTTTGTTATTGTTAAGGTGGCCTCTTGGTCATCTGCTTTTATTTGATTCAAGACGCTACTTATGTAACGGTAGCGATGATAAAGACCACAAGTACCAGTCCTCAGATTGGGGCATAAGTTACCGAAAAATCCAGGTAATATATGTGTAGGACATAGACCGCTCTGGTAGGTTTACCACGAAGATAAAGTAGTCCTAAGGGGCCTTAGCGGCAGGAATTCTTTCGAGAAAAGCATCTGATGGCGTTAAATCGATCAGAGAGTTTAAATAGGGGATCTACAAGCGGATCTTAGATATGGCAATTGGTGGGTAACTATAGATAGAAATAGATATAGCAGAGCTCTTAAATAGGCAATGATTAAAGTTGTACATATAACCAATTGTACTCTCATTGTAACAAAGTCAAGAGGTGCCTATTCAGTATCCTGATAATTGATCTGTGAAGTTAATAAACCATGTCAGACCCCAAGTGGTCACCTTAATATATAAAAAAAAAAAAAAAATCCTACACACCA